GGCGGCCGCGGCAGGAGGCGGAGGAGGAGCGGCCGGAGCGGGGAGTCCCGGGCGGGCGGGCGGCGCCGGGAGCGGCCGGGATTTACCGTGGTGGCGGTGGGCGCTGAGCGGCGGGGGAGCCGGGCGTCCCCGGGGCCGCCGCCTCTCGGGCTGAGCCCCCCCGCCCGGACCATGGCCGACGACGACGTGCTGTTCGAGGACGTGTACGAGCTCTGCGAGGTGATCGGCAAGTGAGTGCGGCGGGGAGCGGGCAGGGCAGGGCTGGGCTGGGCGGGGGGAGCGCTGCCCCGCGCCCCCCGCCCGCACCGGGCACGGGGATGCTCCGCCCGGGACCCACCTGAGTCGCCGCCGGGTCCGGGTCCCCCCCGCGGCCGGTGCCCACCGTGCTCGTCACACGGCAGGCGGAAGGGGGAGAAGTGACCCCATGTTTCCTCAGCCACCATGATTAACCGGCTCGCCATCGCTCAGCCTGGCTGCAGCAAGCGGCAACCACTTCCCACCCCTTTTCTTCTCCTCCCCCCCTCGATATCCCATTCCTGGCACACCCATCAAGGATTGCCTCTTGGGGAAGGGAGAGGGAAGATAGCTCTCCGTAGATCCACCTATTCGCTGGGTGTCTGCATATTTGTGCGCCAGGTGTTGGGTTTTCCTCTTCTTTGCTGCATAATAACCAGCTTGGTAGTGGCGCTCGGGTAGTGCTCGGTTCTCGTCCAGATCCGTCACTCTGGTTCGTGTGGAAATGGAGATGTACAAGGCAGGAGGAGTGCTTGGCCTTTTGAGTCTTATTATGCAACTGCTGTTAAACCGATGCTCGAGGCTTGTGTGAAACCTGGGAGTTGAGGCAGTGGCTGGCGTTCCCCAGCTGCTGTTTCGGGTTACCGCTGCTGGCTGAAAATGACAATTCGAGTCACCAAGAATATGCAGAGACTCCCCCAAATCAGATGGTGATAAAGAATTAAGCCTGAACCCCATTCTCTCCTGCCCCCGTATTTCCGTGGCTGCTCAGTTTTGAAATCCATTCTTTATTTCTTCATCGTCTTTCTTGTATTTTCTGTAGTTGTGTCTGTGTTGCAAAAAGGACAGGAAAGATACAGTGATACTGAGGCTGCCTAATTTTCTGTGTGTCTGATTCCAATGCTGAGATTGCTCTGCAAGCCTTAGTAGTGACCCTGTTCAGTGTGCTTGGAGTTTTTTCTTCGTGACAATGGATTTTATGAGAATAATTGACCGTGTTTTGGTTATAAACAAAGAATGTTTCCTGCATGTATTCTCTTGCCCGCTCTCCACCCTGATGCTTTTCAGTGTATATGGAGTGCTGTCTGCTTTCAAAGCCAGGGCTAAAAATATTCCAGAATTAATCTTTTCTCGGGATTATACTGAAATGCTGGTCTTGGACATAGCAGGTGGCTTTGTTGTCGGCAGAAGTTTCAGCACTCAGTTGTGTCGTTTCACAAGACACTACCACCTTGCTCCTAACACAACTTTTAAAAATGCTAAGCTCCAAGGGCCTTGTTTGCCATCATAAATGGTATGATTGCTTTAACTTGATGCTGTTGAGGATCTTCTGTAGGAGCAGAACTCCTGTTGTTAAAGGCGTTTTGAATACGATTTTTGGCACGCTCCTTTCACAAGTGGTTTTATGCTAAGCACTGCAGTTCACACTCGGATTTATTCGTGCCCGATTGCCATTAGGAGGAAGGTGCAGTGCTTATGCATGACCGCACACCCTTTCAGAGGAGGGATGATCGATTCACAGCGGGCCAGATGTTTGCACATCTCCGCTGACTTTTTGTTCTGTGGCTGGAGAATTTCGAAGGGAGAGCTCAAAACCGGTGGATTAGGTGTTTGCCGCAGAAGTTGCACACGAGATTTAGGTAGTGTAGAGAGTGTTGTGATGTAACTAGATCTAACAGATAAATATTGAATCACAGCAGCAGGATGATGCCAGGAACACTGTAACAAAAACAGGGTGTATCACTGAAAATAGCAGCAGTGGTGGTGTGAAGGGCTGATAGCTGGTTGTGATTACTCAGGTTTTTCCACGCAGATGTCAAGTTCATCTTCTAAAAATACTCAAACATTTAAAATACAGATACGCAACTTTCATGTACAGTTTATGAGTGGTATTCCTGTTTCTTTGCAATGCTATGCAGGTAAATTCCAGGGGACCAGAGATTCAGCATCTTTATTTAGCTTAAAGACTCTGGGTACCACCTTGCCTGTCCATAAGAAACTTCAGGAAAGCTGCTGTAAATCTGCTTTGAATTGCTGCATATGCATCTGACCAAACATCTTTCAGTGAAACATACAGTAAATGTCTGCACGTCCCTGGGATTTGTTATTGATTGATGCAGTGATTTAGTTCTTGCAGCTAGCACATCTGGCTCTCATTTGCATTTCGGACACATGAAATACTAAAATGTGGAATTTATCTTTCCTAAATAGGTAGTTACCACTGTTACTAAGTGTAGTAAAAGGTATTTTTGTAAAGAGTGTGGGAAAAAGGTCTTTGCCTGTAAAATGTCTTGAGTGTTTAGGCGAAGTTCTCATAAATTTACTAGAGAAATCAGGAGATACTTTCTTGGCTGACAGTAGACAGTCCAGTTTGTTGAGGCATATTCTGATCTTTAGGATAAGCTTTAAACACTTCTAAATAGAGTAAACTGATAAGACTGACTTTGAGTAAATGCAGCAATAATAGCTTTTGGTGAGGAACAATTACAGGGTAATAGTATATGAATGAATTGATGGGAATGACAATGATAAACTGTTTATTGTGTGACATTTAGTGTGTTGAAGTTCTGCAAGCATGCATTTTTCATTTTTAAGGGGTGTGGGTGGAAAGAAAGGCCAGGAGGGATAGAGAGAAATTCTAGTTCATGTTTTCATTAGAAAAAAATGTTAGGGGAAATCTTATTCTGCATATATTTCCAGTATACCTTTCCATTGCTGAAAGCTATATAAAAATACAAATTGGAATAACAATCGAAATTTCTCACTGAAATTTTTAAAGTGGCATTTATGACACTAACATTAGTCATGTATTTTTACTTAACCAGACTTGTTATGTTTGAGGTTACAGTCTCTTCAACTTGGCTGACACAAACATTCTTCAGAAAGAAATAAATTGGGGGTTTCTTTATTAGCCTTCAAAAATGTGTTAACATATCTCAGTGATAGTGATGAAAAATACAAGTGTGCCATTTTTTTTCTAACGTACTTCCAGCTGACTTTGGAGAGATTGTCCCTGTGTATTGGTTGAGAAGTACACAGTCTAAAATCTTCTAGGCTGTTCCTATGTGGATCAGACCATGTGTTTGATTGACAAATCACGGACAGTAGTGCTAAGTGTACTTTTTTTTTTTAATTAGAATTTCTATTCAAAATGCTTTGAGTAGTTTGTAAAACGTAGTAGGTGTAAAATTGAAACTTGTTGGCTACTCCTCCAAGGTGCAGACTGTTCTATCATAGAAGCTCCACATACACATGGCAGGAGTTTTCTTTATGCCAGAGAGAGAATGCCTGTCTTCAGTAGGTGTTGAATCTAGAAGAGTGAGGCAAGGTTTTTATGATAGAGCCTTGTTCTGCAAGGACTTTATTTTAAATTACCTGGTTTTACATTTCTGTAGCTCTTAAGATCCATATCAGTTTATGTTAGCATTAGAGGAGAACCATAAAGATTGTCTGACCTTTCTGACAGTAGGACTTACTTTAAATTTCTCCAACTGTTTAAGTTGTAAATACAATGGGATAAAGATGATAGTCACTTATTTGTATTTAAAAGGGCTTTGGTCACGATTGAAGTCATTAATCCTGGGGTGCCTTTGGAAGAGCATGGCTGGCAGCTGGAAGGAGGGATCCTGTCCCTCTGCTGAGCCCTGTGAGGATCACCTGGAGTTCTGGGCTCCTCAGGACAGGACGGACATGGAGCTCCTGGAGCAGATCCAGGGGAGGGTGACAAAGGTGATGGAGGGACTGGAGCATCTCACTGAGCACAGGCTGAGGGAGCTGGGCCTGTCCAGCCTCGAGAAGAGAAGGCAGAGAGGGGCCCCCATCCCTGTGTGTCAGTGCCTGCAGGGAGGGGCAGGGATGGACCCGGCTCTGCTCCGTGGGCAGTGGGACAGGAGGAACAGGCAGATTGATGCACACAAGTTCCACCTGAACACGAGGAAGAATTCCTTCACTGTGCAGTGACCGAGCACTGGAACTGATTGTCCAGAGAAGGGTTGGAGTCTCCCTCACTGGATCTGTTCCAGAACCATCTGGACACAGTCCTGTGCCGTGTGCTGTGGGATGACCCTGCTTGAGCAGGGAGATTGGACCAGATGACCCATGGTGGTCCCTTCCAGCCTGATCCATTCTGTGGTATTAAAAGTCACTTAAACTGTACATTTTTTATTTTTTTTCTTCTGTTTGTGGGCTGTATGTGCCATCACTGTGTATGCAGTAGTGCAGTTGTTGGTATTTCCAGTACCCAAGGATACCATGATGTTTGGTGCTAATGCTGTCAGAGCTTCCAGGACATTCTCTGCAATCTTAGTTAAGGCTAATCCTCTTCTGCACTGCATGTGTGAGGATTTTAGTTTGTTTTCATCCCTCTTTGCTCTGTGATGGGATGAATCTCTCTGCTTGGGCTCTTCCATCTAGTAAAGAGTAGTTAAAGGGCAAGAACCAGCAGGCATTGCTCCCTTCTCCTTCCAGACTGCAAACACTGCTGGAATACCACACATGTGAGCTGAGGATGCAGAGTCGTGGGACAGGGCTTATCTGTTTGCTTGATTATTTTTTTTCATTAAAATTTGAAGGCTTCTAGCCCACTGAAGTCAGACAAGGGGTGGTGGTTGCAATTCCAGCCTAAGATCTTACCTGGAGTTGGAGGTGCTTTAGATTTATGCCTCAGTCTGGGAGTGTTCAGGAAAAGGATGACAAAGCTTGCGGATTCCTTGTCCAAGAAATACCTAAAACTTTTAATAATTGTAATTATTGTGGTAACAAAACTATTTGATGGTTTCAGTGGTATTGTTTTTCATTATTGCCTCCATTTTCACTGACGGGAATTAGAATGCTGTTGACTCTCAAACATACTTTTGCTGTAGTACACTGTTGAGATTGTGCATTTCCTGTAAAACCAGTGCAAATAACTGATGGGTGTAATTAATGACAAATCAAATGGAAATGTGAAACAACTGTAGTATGAACTCACTGTTTGTAAAGGGGGGGAAGGGAAGGG